TCCCTCTCTGCCCCTCCCCTGCTCACGCTCTGTCTCTCTCAAAAATAAATAAACATTAAAAAAAATTAAGGAAAAAAAGAACAAAAAGAGGAAGATTCCAGCCTCTTTTACCAGACTGTTGTGCTGGGACATTAGCCCTCTGCCCTTGTTTGCCCTGGTTGTCGGCACTTGGGGCTTGGATGGAACCCCCACCGCCAGCTCTCCCGGGCACCCAGCTGGTGGAGAACAGAGGTGGGACCTGCTCAGCCTCCATGATCCCGTGAGCCACATCCTGGTCACAAATCTCTTTTGACGTCTGCACGTGCCCTGTTGGTTCTTGTCTCCTGAGGACCCTTGTGCAGCATCAGCAGCTCTGTTCACAGGGTTCTGGAAATGAAAACAAGCACTTTCCCACTGTTTGAAGAACGAGCTGGCCATGAGCACCTGCCTCCAGCCAGATATCACCTCCAGGAGGAGGCAGGAACATCACTTCCCAGGAAGAGTGTGACTGGCTGTTCATTTTGAGCGAGCACAGCCTTGATTGCAGGCGCTGGGAGGGTCTGCGGGGCTGGTTGGTTGGACAAAAAGTCTTTGCAGCACTTTGTGGGAGTCACGGTAACTGTCACGGCACACACAGCCCACCGGTCACCAGCGTCAGCCGATCTGGGACTTGCCAGGTTATGTTGTTCTGGTTTCTTCTGTTTATGGAGAGACGGTGCTCCCAGCCTGTCGGCCCTTCTCAGAGCCACGTGCCTGTTGGTAGTTGCACCCTGGGGAGTAATTTCCGAGATGCCAGCTCCTGCGTTCTGTCCCTTAGGGTCCAAGGTCAGATTTTGACGTGTGAGAAGGGAAATGCCTTTGGAAACAAGTGCTCGCATGGAGGGAACAGCTTGACGGTGGGTGTGGATGTGTCTCCCGTGTGTTGACAGGAATGGCATGTGTCACCCACACCCGCTCCTTCCTACCATTACTTACAGTTTCCTGGCCGGAAGAGGATTTCAGTGGGTTTTCATCTAATTTGTTGTAAACATAACAACACAACTTCCTCCGCTTAGTTTGTAAGAAGATGGAAATTTCCCCATTGCATTTAATGTAAACCTTCGCACCTGGGGATGGATTGAAAAACAGACAATGATTTAGTTTTTATTAAAAAAATTTTTTTAATGTTTATTTTTTGTAAGAGAGACAGAGCACGAGTGGGGCAGGGGCAGAGAGAGAGGGAGACACAGAATTCGAAGCAGGTTCCAGGCTCTGAGCTGTCAGCACAGAGCCCGACACGGGGCTTGACCCCACGAACCGTGAGATCATGACCTGAGCTAAAGTTGGATGCTTAACCGACTGAGCCACCCAGGCGCCCCTCAGACAATGATTTTTTTTTAAAGAGAGCTACTCTGATGGGCTGTAAATCTCCATGAATTGTTAAGTCCGTTGAAATAAACTGAACGTAAGTCCAAAGCTTTTGCTCACAAGGTGATAAGCCAAGATTCATTATTTTACAAAGTTAAAGTGTATGTAGTTACATTGCTTTTCTAAAGGTATCATTAACACAAACAGTGTTTCAGGGACAGCAAAATTTTTAGGGCCAGAGTAAAACTGCTATCGTAAAACTACTGTTTACTTCCTTTTTATCTCCTCCTGCAAAAAGCTTTCTTTTGTGGCTGTCAGTGCACACGTGTCACGGGTAATGAGTTGCGTGTGTCCTAGCGGACGTTCCTGGCTTGCTTCTGACGCTCCCCTTGCTCTGATGGCCGCGGCCTCCCCCCTGCAGAGGCTGGCTCCTCTCCTAGCTTGCTTCTGGGCTCCCTCTGCTGTGCCCCCTGCCGCCTGACTGCCCGCTGTGAGGGGGAAGTGGAACCTGTCCCGTCTCCAGGCTCCTGGATAACAGACGGCCCGGGTTGTTTCCCCAGCGCACCCCACAGAGGAGGCCCGGGGCCCTCGGCCCGCCGCGCCGTCCCCTGCGCTCCAGGCGTCCCCCGCGCTCCGGGCGTCCCCCTGTCCCGCTGCCGCAGCTCTGCCTCTGGGAGCCCCCACTTTTCACTTTAATTGGTAAACGTTTTACTGAGTTTCCTGGAACGGACAGTCCAGGTTGAGTAGATAGCACACATTCCCCTAACCGTCGACGAGGAGCGCGGTCCCTAAAATTGAGTATTTTACATCCATTTTACGATGAGGAAGCCGGAGCGTGTCACCTGATCATGCAGTGGGGACTGGGGAGTGGTGCCCAGGACCCCCAGCTTTGAAGGCCAGGCCGCAGGCTGCCAGCGGGGCCTCACTGTGCCACTGTCACTATCCCCAGAGTCCATGGGGCTGATGCACCCTAGAAATGTTCCCCGAGCCACTCCTCTCCCAGGTCGGGCTGGATCCAGGATGAGTGGCCAGCGGCCACCTGGTGGCTCTGGTCCCTGAAGGCCGGTGTGGCTGCCACAGGCTGCTGGGCGGGGTTGCTGCCATGGGCTTCATTAGTCTGTGCGTGGCCCTGGCGCTAAGAGGTCCCCCCGCCCCCCGCCCAGCAGCAGACCCCATTGGGGCCCCGCTGGGCTTCACCCCTGCTCCAGGGAGTCTGCACGTGCTGGATCTGTCCCCCGCCCCAGGTCCCCCACCTAGGTGCCGCACCCCAGGTCCCCCACATGTCTCATGGTCTGGACCCCAGAAGGTGGCTGGGCGTGTACTCTGGAAATGGGGTGAAGGCCCTACTGAAAGTTTGAATCTCCCCATTTCCCCTTTGAAAGTTCCAGCTGATCAGCACTGGGGACTTAACCCAGAAATTCGTGGTTCCTCTGGGCCCCAGTGACATTGATGTAACCGCTCTGCCCAGTGGGGGTGGAGAGGAGCCTGTGTAGACCATCGATCGGTGCCCTTGGAGTTTACTTTGGGTGGTTAGAGAGACCCAGGCGTTTTAGGAAAGGGATCCATGGCATTTGTGCGCAGTGGCAAGACAGGTATCATTCAGGGCCATTGGGACAGGGACAGAACAGACAGGCGGGGGCTTATCACCAAGGAAGAGGCAGGGAATCATCGGACAGAAAATCCCAAAGGGGAAATGTTGGGGCTGAGGGGTCCGGTTGAACTGACCTGGCAGGGTTCTGGCGGAAGGTAGGACAGGACATCAGACATCACTCGGGGTTGAGGGGCTGAGGGTCCCCCTCCTAGGTCAAGGGCGGGGGTGTGGCTGGACTGATGGTCCTGAGGAGAGTAGCTGCGCCTGGCTGGGAGGGGTCTGGGGGAGCCTACGCGGGGTGTGGGGGAAGGAAGTGCTCAGTGGGTGACGCAGGGTCTGTCCCCAGGCAGAGGAGGAGAGAGATGACATGGAGAGGGTGAAGTTGGACAACAAGAGGATTCTCTTCAACCTCCTGCCGGCCCACGTGGCTCAGCACTTCCTCATGTCCAACCCCCGCAACATGGTGAGCCTGCTTCCTGCCCCCCCACCCCGCCTGCTCCGGCCGGGGTCCCACCCGGAGTGACCCTCCCATCACGTCTCTGCTTAAAATCGAAAAGCACCGAGGCTGGGTGGGTCCCCTCTGCCCACGCCCAGGCCACAGGTGGGGCTGGGCCCTGGGAAGCCCCTGGGATTGGTCCTGGGAGGGAGCATAGCAGCCTCCACCCTGCCTGGAGGGAGGGTGGGCTTCAGGAACCCACCACCCGGCAGAGCAGGGCTCACAACTGTCAACTCAATAATAGGCTTGGCCAGCGCCTTAGACCCCGAAGGCTGAAGGCGGGGCCAGCTTGACCGGCTTTGTATAGAGAGCATCCAGGGTTCCAGGGCTGTTTTCCTGTCCCCCACCACCCACTCCCCTGGCCCCGCGTGCTACCCCTGGCGCCATGGCTGGGCGCCATGGCTGATCTGAACTTTGCCCCCAGGACCTGTACTACCAGTCCTACTCACAGGTGGGCGTCATGTTTGCTTCCATCCCCAACTTCGACGACTTCTACATCGAGCTGGACGGCAACAACATGGGGGTGGAGTGTCTGCGTCTCCTGAACGAGATCATCGCAGACTTCGACGAGGTGAGGGCCGCCGGCCGTGTGGGGCTGCGTCTGCACTGTGGCCGCCATGTGGCGCGCTCCCTGCACACAGAACCGGGAGGAGGCTCATACATTCTGTCCCCCCGGGGGGTCCAGGCAGACCCTGACCCTGGAGGAGGGCCCTTCGCCACCTGTGGGCACTGAGCTCCCGTGGCAGGTGCTGACGCCTGTGCCCTACCTAGTAAATGGGGTGTTCGGGCTGACGACCCTGGGGTCTGCACCTGCCCTGCTCCCTGCCCTGGGGCGTCTCCTCCAGGTGACCTTGAGGTCACCACTGCAGGACGCCTGCGCTCTGTGCGGTCCCTCCTGGGCTCCTCTTTCCCACACCCTTGCCAGAGCCCCTCAGATCGCCCCAGACCTTGTCTGGTGCCTGCGACAGACAAGACACACTGCTTCTCAGCACTTGCTCCCCCTGCCCTGTGCTTGCTGTCAAAGTGGCTTCTCTAAGATGTTATGTAACGTTGAACAGTTTTGTGTTTTAAACAAAGCTCATGGACAAAGACTTTTACAAGGACTTGGAGAAGATCAAGACCATCGGGAGCACCTACATGGCCGCTGTGGGGCTGGCGCCCACCACTGGGACCAAGGTGAGTGCCGCTCGGGGACTGGGTCCCAGTTCTGCCCCAGACTGCTCCGGAACTCTGGGCAGGCTCTGCACTGAGCCCCAGTCTGCCTGATAAGTGGGTCAGAGCAGCGGCCCGTGGGCTGTCCATCCAGTGGCCAGCTGTCTCCAGACACACTCCCCCATAGAACATCGGCACCAAGGCCAGTCACAGGGGTTCCTCCAGCCCTGCTCCGCCCCACTGGCCCCCTCCCCACCAGCCCTTTTCCCTCCCCACCAGCCCTGCTCCCTCCCCACCAGCTGCACCCCAGTCCTGCCAGCCGGGCACTGTGGAGTGTTCCCCTTTCCCAGTGCAGAGCTGTGAATAATGTCTTCAGGTTGCCTCTAAAAAAATAGGCAGGAAAAGAGAGGAAGTTGTCAAAAAAAATGCAATGAATGCAAAACAGTTATTAATATGGGAGGGGCGCCTGGGTGGCGCAGTCGGTTAAGCGTCCGACTTCAGCCAGGTCACGATCTCGCGGTCCGTGAGTTCGAGCCCCGCGTCGGGCTCCGGGCTGGTGGCTCGGAGCCTGGAGCCTGTTTCCGATTCTGTGTCTCCCTCTCTCTCTGCCCCTCCCCCATTCATGCTCTGTCTCTCTCTGTCCCAAAAATAAATAAAAACGTTGAAAAAAAAATTAAAAAAAAAATATGGGAGATACTAATTCATAATAATCCATTGATTATTACGTCAGTAATGATTTTAAATGTGAGTGGAAATATGCCAGTTAAAGGAGACTGACAGAGTGGCCAAGAGCATAAGACCCAGATATATGCTTTATTTATTTGTTTTTAAATGTTTATTTATTTTAGAGAGCACGAGTGGGGGAGGGACAGAGAGAGAAGGGGACAGAGGATCCGAAGTGGCCGCACTGACAGCAGAGAGCCCCGTGAAGGTCTTGAACTCACAAACCTTGAGATCATGACCTGAGCCAAAGTCAGACGCTCAACCATCTGAGGAACTCAGGTGCCCCAAGAAACACACTTTAAAGACACAGATAACTTAAAAATAAAGGATGTAGAAAGAGATACCCTTTTAGCACTAATAAGACAAAATTCAAGTAGTGATCTAATTTCAGACAAAGCAAACTTCAGATCAAGGAAAATTATGAGACAGAAATAAAGAAGGAGACTGCAAAATGATAAAGGAGTCAATTCTCTAGGAAACCATAACAATCTTTAACATGTATATATCTAACAACAGTGTGTCAAAATATGTAAGGCAAAAACAGATAGAATCACGGGGAAGAATCGATGAACCCACTGTTACAGTTGGAGACTGCAGCACCCTTCTTGGTCACTGGCAGGTCCAAGGGGGCATCTGCAAAGATGGTTGAACTGAACAGCATCATCAAGCACCTGGATGTAATTGGCACCCACAGACAACTCCATCCAACAACAGCAGAATACACATTCTTCCCATGCTCAAGCGGAACACTGACCAAGATAGAGCACATAAAACACACCTTCATGAGTCTAAAACAATTGAAATCATGTAAAGTGTGTTCTCACACCCAAATGGAATTAAACTAGAAATCTATCGATAGGGACATAGTTGGAAAATTCCAAACTATTTGCCTATTAAGCAACACTTGTCGAAATGACATGAGTCAAAGAAGAACTCTCAAGAGAAGTCTTAAAAACGTGTTGAACTAACTAAAACTGGAAATACAATTGAACAAAACCTGCGAGATGCAGCAGGCCCTCCGAAGGAAACTTACGTCCCTGAAGTCATATATTAGAAAAGAAGAATGATCCCGAATCAACTGTGTAAGCTTCCACCTTGGCAAACTACAGAAAGGAGAACAGTATAAATCTGTGGTGAGCATCGGGGGGAAACATCAGAGCACAATCAATGAACTTGAAAACAGGTAAGCACCAAAGAAAATCAATGGAACTAAAAGCTGGCTGTTTGAAAAATCAAAAAAGTTTATAACCTCTAGCCATGCTAACCGAGAAAAAAAGAAAACACAAGTTACTAATATTAGAAATATTCACTTGTACTGAATCAATGGAAAGTAAAAGGATGAAAAGGTATGTTATGAACAACTCTGTGCCCACAAATGTGATAATCTGGACCAAGTGGACCAATTCTCTGAAAGGCGCAATCTACCAAAACTTGAACAAGGGGAAATAAAAAAAATATTAGCAGACCGTATCTATTAAAACAATTGAACCAATAATTGGTAACCTTCCAAAACAGCACTGGGCCCAGATGGGTTCATTGAACATTTAAGGAAGAGATTACACACATTCTATAAACTCTCTTCCAGAAAATAGAAGTTCCTAATTCATTTCTTTCTAACTCATTCTATGGATCCAGTATTACAATAATGCGAAAACCAGATCGATTACAAGGAAGGAAAATCACAGGCCAGTATTTCTCGCGAGTATGGATGTGGAAGTCTTTGACGAATGTTCGTTGACTCCAACATTGTATGAAGAGAATAATACGCCACAAACAAGTTGGATTTATTCAGAATACCAAGGCTGGTTCAACATTTCAAAATGAGTTAATGAAATTCACTGTATCCACAGGATAAAGAAGAGAAATCACATGATCATGTCAATTAATTGAGGCAGAACAGCCATTTTGACAACATCCAAACTCATTCCTGATTTAAAAAACAACAAATGTAAGGAAACTCTACAAATAGAAACCTCGTGAACTGGGTAGAGAACATCTACAAAAAGGTGTAGTTTAATATCATACTTAATGATGACAAACAAAGCCTCATGCTCATGTCAGGAGCGTGGCAAGAATGCTCTGTCACCACTCCTAGTCAACGTTCATACTGGAAGACTTAGCTAGTGCAATAAGACAAAAAAAGGAAGTAAAAGTATACAGACTGGGGGGGAGAAACTGTTTCTTCACAGATGACATGATTATCTATGTGGAACATTAAAAAGGAATGTCCCAAATGTCTATAATAAGCAACCACAAGAAACAAGATTAATAAAGTCACTTCCCTACATACCAGCAATGCCCAAGTGGAATTTGAAATTAAAGAGTGCCACTTATATTTGCATACCCCCCCCAAGTTAAATACTAGGTACACATTTAAAAAATAATTACAACAAGATCTCTATGAGGGCAAGTGTATAACTTTGATGCAAGAAATCGAGATCAAACAGGTGTAGAAGGAACGTTCCTGCATAGGAAGACTCAAGGTCAAGAGGCCGGTTATTGCTGACCTTATAGATTTCCTGCAATCCCGCTCAAAAGTCCAGCGTGTCACTGTGTGATATTGACCAGTTGGCCCTAAGTTTACATGAGGCAAAACACGCAGAGCCGTTAACACAGGACAGCAGAGGTGGAACAGAGTTGGAGAACTGAACTACGGACTTCAGGGTTGCTAGAAAGAAAGCTGCCATGAGCAAGACCGTGTGGTGTTGGGGAGAACGGACAACTAGATCAACGAAATGGAATAGAGAGCCCAGACACAGACCCCCATTGACAGAGTCAACAGTTCTTTGACAGAAGAGTGAATGGAGCAAAGGTAATCTTTAGCAAACAGTGCCAGAACAAGTACACACCTGTATTTAGAGAGATGTTAACACAAAATGGGTTAAATTACATCAGAATGGATCATAGACCTCAATGTGAAGGGCAGAAGTGTTAAACATCTAGAAATCACATGAGAAAATCAAGGTGACCTTAGGTTGGTGTTAAGTGTTTATTTATTTTATTTTTTAAAGCTATTTTTTTTTACATTTATTTCTGAGAGACAGAGAGAGACAGAACACAAGTAGGGGAGGAGCAGAGAGAGAAGGAGACAGAGAATCCAAAGCAGGTTGCAGGCTCCGAGCTGTCAGCACAGAGCCTGACGTGGGATTTGAACTCACAAACTGTGAGATCATGACCTGAGCCGAAGTCGGACCCTTAACTGACTGAGCCACCCAGATGTCCCCAAGCTATTTTTTAATGTTTATTTATTTTGAGAGAGAGAGTGAGCGTGAGCAGAGGAGGGGCAGAGAGAGAGGGAGAAAGAAATTATAAGCAGGCACCACACTGTCAGCGCAGAGCCTGATGTGGGGGCTTGATCCCATGAACTGTGAGATCGTGACCTGAGCCGAAATCAAGAGTCGGGTGCTTCACCGACTGAGCCACCCAGGCACCTCTGTGATCAGTGTTTAGATGACCCATGGAAAAAATCATCATTACTTTGGACCTAACTGAAAATTTTAAATATGTGTGGGAAATACTATCATCAAACGCCAATCTACAGACTGAGGGAAAATCTTTTCAAACCACCTCTCTGATAAAGGGCTTGCATCAAACCCTAACTCAAGAATAAAATAACCCAGTTAAAAAGTGGGCACAAAATCCAGACATGTCGCTTGCACATGATGAGTAGGCATTGGAAGAGATATTCTGTATCAGGCGTCTGCAAGGAAATACAAATTAAGACAATGGGACACCACCGCACACTGATTAGAGGGGCCAGAACCTTGACGACGCCCAGCGCTGGCAAGGACGTCGAGTGGCAGGGACGCTCACCGCTGGTGGGAGCGCAGAGTGGGGCGGCCGCTGTGGGGGACAGACAGTCTGGCGGTTTCTTACAGAACTAAATACACTCTTACCGTACGTTCCAGCAATACTGCTTGGCATTCACCCAAAGGGACAGATGACTTAGGGCCACGAAACATCTGACACGGATGTTTACAGCAGCTCTACTCATAATTGCCAAAACCAGGGAGCAACCAGGACGCCCTTCGGTAGGTGAATGGATAACAGACTACGGTCCGTCAGCTCTAGAAAGAAATGAGCTCTCACGCCACAGAAGGACATGAAGGAACCTTGAATGCATCTTACTAGGGCAAGAAGCAGATCTGGAAAGGCTACGTACTGTGTGATTCCACTTACGGGAGATTCTGGAAGAGGCACAACCATGGGGACCTGGAAGGATTAGGGGTTGCCAGCGGGGTTGGGGGAGAGGGATGAACAGGCGGGCATGGGAGCTGGCGGGACAGTAAAACTACTCTTGTGGGTGCACGAAACTCTGCATTTGGGAAAATGCATAGAACGTACACACATAATATAAACTGTGGACTTTAGTTGACGATAGTGAATCACCGTGGGCATATCAGTGGCGACAAAGGTCCTGATGCAGGATGTGAACAGTAGGCAAACTGTGGGGTGGGGGCAGGGGCACAGCCTACGGGACTCTCTAGGCCATCTGCTCTATTTACCAATAGACCTTAACCCGTTCGGACAAGAGTTAAGTCAGTTAAGTTTTTTAAAGCGTCTGTTCCCTTTATTCGAGGACTAGTAAAATACCCATAAACAGAGAAAAATGAGAAACCTTGAACTGTCACAAGAACAGAAAATCCTGACGGTTGTCTTTGTTTTACACAAGAGGGGCTGTCTCAAATGAATATTTTTTTAAGTTTATTTTGAGAGAGAGAGAGCATGCGCTTGAGTTGGGGAGGGGTCCAGAGAGGAGGAGAGAAAGAATCCTAAGCAGGCTCTGTGCCGGCAGCGCACCCACGACCCCGTGGGGCTGACACCAGGCCACCACCCAGCCTGCAGTGGGCGGGGCGCTGCTGTGCCCGTGGGTTCAGGTTCTGCCCCTGGCGGGGTGCCCGCGGAGCGTCCCAGCCCCCACATGTGGTCGCACCCCCCAAGTGTGGTAACCG